TTTAAGCGGGAACATCTGATCTGTGTCACACTTGCTCTGAGGACTTTAAGGGGGACCACTGCCATAGGTAATATTTGAAATATTAATTTCTGGTACTGCAAGGCTACTAACCAATCAGAATTGAGGCCAGTTAGAATAGATGCCATATGGTTACATGAAGGCTCAAGTTAAACCCCAGTTCTTACTCTCTTTGTCTTCCAGCAGCACAAAGGAGATCCAGGGTGTGATTTTTAACTAGATTTTACTAAAGACTTAACATTAGGAGAGGCCACTTTCCTGTCTTCTTGAAGAAGTTAGTTTTAGGGCCCAAAGATCTTGACCTGTACTTAACCTTCAACTTAATTCTATCAGGCCTCTACATAGGGTGCTGGCTCAGTTATTCTCCATGGGATTCTCCAGTCAGTGCCACCCATTTTGGAGTCCAGGCCCATCTGTCACTTGGCCTTACAGAAAAGAATAAACACTTTTCTTTCTGCTTTCAGGATTCACTTCCTCCTTTTTCTCAGGATTATAAATATTTAAGTGTATTCCACTCTCATCCTTGGGATGTGGCTTGGCCCATTCATGGGTTGACTGGGTCAGTCAGAACAATCAACAATGCTTTTTCAAAAATCTTGCTTATATAGCTTTAAATGAAACCATTTGTGAAGCATTAACAGTCCAGAACATGATATGCTGTTATGAATTGTGTCCAAAGTCTTCCTTGCATTTTCTGTACTTATCATGGACCACTAACAAACTGTTCTTGGACTGACATCCTTCCATGGACCACACTTTGAGTAGCAGTACTCTAATACCTTTATCTCCTCTTTGAAATCAAATGCATGGACTAGAGCACACACACGCACACACACACACACACGCACACACACACACACACACACACACACTTTTCCTAAGAATGAACAAAACTTTTCAGGCAAATGGCAGTTTATATGGCAAAATTCTGGTTCTGGAGGGGCATGTCCATCTAATTCCCATTACTAAACAAAGGACTTAACATTTCAGTTTAAAGAAGGATTATTTCACTGGTTGAGAAATTCCCTAAGAAGACTGCTTTCCAACCTGTGTTTATATCCCGGAACACATAGAAAATAATATCTGGAAGTTACTCTTAGGTGTGATACTTTGGTTGAATAAAAATATTCTGGTTATTTGATAATTCAACTCTCTCCCTCTCTCTCTCTCTCTTTCTTTTTGTATGTGTGCAACACACACATGTATATTTTTGTTGTACATTAGACACTGAGTGAGAAACTAAATTTCGAACCTTCTAAAACCAATGATTTCCTCTTGCAACAGAAATTTAAAATTTGTTCTCCTTAATATTTATAATAGCACGTCTTCAAAATTACATCAAGAAAGTCCTAGGTATCAAAATCTCTTTTTTATTTCATTGGTATAATAGAAATTCCTGTCATTTGTGGAAACTGTATGTAAATCTGGTTGCAAGAGAGCTTACTGAGGGTTAAGCCAAAAACAAATAGCAAAGAAAAAAAGAAGAAGGAGGAAAAGGGGAAATAGGAAGGTGGGGAAGAAGAGGAGGAAAAGACAAAATAAGGAAACTGTCAAGAGCTCCTTCATGGAGAAAGGAGAGGAGAGAGTTTCTGCTTAATGTTAACAGGGATAAAAAGGAAATTTACTCAACACTGACTAATATAATGGATTTGTATACACTATAAGTTATATTTTTTCCAACCATTCAGCAGGAACAAGATTTTCCTATTCCCACCCCAAACTCCCCACCCCTGCCCCTGAAGCTGTAATTGCTAGGATTTCTGGCACTCTTTAATTTCAAAATATTAATGTCCTTTTATTTTAAAGACCTGCTCTTTATTATGAAGAATCAGCTACGTACAAACTTATAGATAAGAAAAGCATACTGAGTATGAATATATCAAATTATACACACACACATTCTTTTGGAATTTGTAATACAAAAAATTTTTTCATTACCTGTATCATAGATTTTTTTCTCCTCCTTGGTTCCAGAATGGATTTTTAAATAGTCTCATTTATTTCGCCAATCTCACAAGCCCTTTAGAAACACATTTTTTATTGTATTTCAAATAAATAATACTGAAGTAGTTCTGAGAAGCACTGGGGTCAAACAGGAAATAAAGTACATATAGAGATATAAAGGAATTGAGGAATGAAAGACTTAAATCATTTGATGAATAATAACTTTCATTATAACCACTTTGAGAGTCTTTTCACGTTGATTTCAGCCATCAACCAATCACATTCATTCAGGTCCTGATTTGGTGATGCTTGCATTTTATAACTCATTAGCCATCAATATCTTACAGCTCCCTAATTTTTTATGCAAAACTAGCCTTGTCTAAAACACCAGTGTTAGGTAGTTCACCAGTCAAATACTGAACTCTTAAAGGGTGGAGAGATGCAACAATTTTTGCTTCACAAAAGCATGAAGTTAAAGGGAGAAATGACAAAAGTGGAATTGAAAATGTAGGACAAAGGGAAAGTACAGAGCATGTTGAAACTGAAAAAAAAATCAGAATGAAATAATTAAAAATATATTTGGAGTAATTACCTAGATATATTAAATCATAACAGAAATATAATTATGATTACAAATGAAAGAGAAAAAAAGGTACAGTAGAATGCAAAAGGGATAATGTACTTGATAGAAGTATTGAATCTCAACAAGAAACTCCCAGAGAATAGATAAGAGAATGTTATTGAGAGAATTAATGTTGACTTGTAATTTACAGATAACCAAGAACTAAATGAAACATTTGAGGTAAGTTCTAGTATACTACACCATATTTTGAAATTATTATTGTAAATTATTCAATAAATGATGTTGGCTGGGGTAGTTTGGGTTGAAAGCTCTTTTATGCAAGGATAAATTTCATATAGGTAATAAATACAAAAAAATACTCAGGCAAACAATGATAAAAATAAACAGTAAAAGCACCAGAAGAAACCATGGGAGCAATTTTGTATAATTTTGGCATGAGGAAGAACTTTCTAAGAACAAATAAAATAGCTTTTTAAAATCTCTGAAGTCATAAAAGAAAATAATGATATATTTGACAAACAATCATTACCAAAGTTAAAAAAATATATAGACAGACAGACAAACATGTATTTACAAATTCTATCACAGATAAAGCTGTTTTATTTATATATAAAGCACTTCCCCATTTGATAAGAAATAGATTAACATTCCATGAAAAATTATATGAACAGACAGCATATAGAAAAAAAGAAATACCAATGACTTTTAAATAAATGAAAAGATGCTCATTTCCATTACGATAAGAGATATGCAAATTAAACTGCATGGAAATATCATTTCTTACCTAAGAGAGTAGCAAAAAATTAAAACATTGATAACATTGGTAACTATTTGTTTTCTATTGCTACATAACAAATTATTACAAACGTAGCAACTTAAAATAACACAAATTTATTATCTCACAGTTTCTTTGGGTCAGAAGTCTGGGCACTTCATGGCTGGATTCTCTGCTCAGGAAGTCAAAAGACCAAAATCAAGGTGCCCTGAGAACTACATTCCTTTCTGGAGACTCTAAAGAAGGAACCCACTTCTACTCTCATTTGGGTTGTTGATAGAACTCAGTTCCTTGCAGTTATAGAGCTGAGGCCCCCATTTCCTCACTGACTGTTGAACAGAGACCTCTCTCTCAGCTCCTTAAGGCTGCCCATTCCTCCTAATGTGGGCCCCTTCACCTTCAAACCAGCAGTAGTGCATTAAGTCTTTCTCAGGCTGCCAGTACCTCTGACCTATTATTCACCGGTGAGCTTGAGAAAGCACTCTTGGAAGGGCTGATGTTAGATTAGGTCTACATGGATACTCTCCCTATTTTAAGATTAGCTATGTCATGCAATTTTACATAATCATGGGAGTGGTAACTCATTATATCCACAGATTTGGGGAATTAGTGCAGGATATCTGTAGGGCGGAGGGCATTTTAGAATCCCTGCTTACCGTACATTGCTAGGTGAGAACTTTTCCAGTGGGCTGAAATTCACACTGCCCAATCCTTACTCTCTCTTCATCCTTCCTCTACCATTTCAGAACACCAGGTGCTTTCATTTCCTCCTTGCTCTGAGGGGAATGGACTTTCCATCTGCCAGCCAAACAGTTTCTTGTCCTTCAAGACCTAAATACCTTGTAAAATCTTTCCCACAACAGTTTCACAATGTTCTAATAATACCAACGTGATAAATGAATTGTCTTGAAAGAGAGTGACTGTTTGGCTGGTAAATGGAAGCAAAAGCACCTGGTGTTTTGAAACAGTAGAGGAAGGATGAGAAGAACCACCAGGGAGCTTGTTATAAATACAGATTCTTAGGCCCTGCTCCAGATCTACTGAAACAGACTGCGTCTTAACAAAAAAGAACCTGATGATTGCCTTTTATATCCTTCTGTGGCAATACAAATAGATTTACATTATTATCCATCTTGGGTAGACTGTAAGTTATTTTACCCACCTCTGTTGATTGGTATTCGTATTAATCCAATATTTTGGTATCATAAGCAACGGAGTGATGGAGAAATGCTGGCCTAAAGGCCACTGAACAGGACATCTAAGGGACCCTGACTCTGTTTCCCCTTAATGCCTCCATTTCTGCTGCTTCAATACTCCCCTTGGGCATATCGCTTTCACTGATCTTGAAGCTTTGCTCTAAGAGAGGTCCACGACAATGCCCCACCACGTCAATGCCATCTTAAAATCCTGCCAGGCCATAGCAAAGGGAGATGCCCGTGGGGTTCCGGATGTCATAATGTGTTTTCCAGTTACTTTGGTGACACCCGCGACCCCGGAGTTCTTTCATCAGACAGCTGCAATCTCTATTCAGGTCGCCAGTACGCGCAGTTTGAGCGGCGCCATTGTGAGCAGGTCTTGAAGCTAGCGCGTGGCGTCCAACGGTTGCCTAGCGACGGTCGTCCACTCCAGTCCGCGGTCGATCAAGTCCGCATTCGTTTGCCGGCTACCAAGAGGGCAGCCATGGACACGCAGGGGGGATCCCTCGTCCCCCAGGACATAGAGAGCTCAAAGAATGAGATACAGCTGCGAGTGACCCCGTCGGAGGTGAAGTTCCTGAACACGCTGGCCGGGAGGGTGTACCGCCTCCCGATTACTGTACACAATCTTGGCCATTGCAATCAGAAGATCCGGTTTCGGGAGCCCATCAAGCCGCAGGTGAGACACGAAGTGCTATCAAGCAAGACCTGGAGAGCTCTGGGGCTCCGAGAATACCTCCTCCCTTTTTCTCCAGGGAGCACACACCCAGCTTCTGCGGGGATGGGGGAAGGATTGGGCCTAAGGTGCATGTGTGTGTGCGAGTGCGCGCGCTTTTTGTTTTGTTTGCCCTTCTGCTGGGGATTGAGAGATGGGGAGAACAGGGCCGGGAAAAGCTTATCTAGAACCTCCCCATTTCTTCTTCCTGGGTTTAGAAAGAAAAGAAGGGATTTCAAGACTGTCTACTTGTAACAGTCCCAAACCTGTGTACCTTGGCTTCATGATTCTGTAGTTGTCTATTTTGAATTATGAGAACAAAATTCTCTATTAACTGCCCTTTGAATCATAAAGTGCCTGATTACTCCAGGACATGTAGTATTAGTGGAAACGTTTGTTATTTCATATTTTGACAGACTTTTGTTGCGTACCTGCTGTGTAACAGGCAGTAGGTGCGAAGAATACAGGATCGACACAGCCTTGTCCTCACAGAACTTAGAAACTAGTGGGCGGATTTTAGTACCACCATCAAAATTGATGTTCTTAAAGTCTGTCCCTATCTTGTAATTTAAAAGTGGACAAAATTTCATCTTTATCTCACTGTGTTATCTTAGATCGTGTGTATGAATGGATGGCTATTAGTTCACTATGAACACATGTTTTCGGGAGACTTTTAAATGTGATAAGAATTTTTGATATGTAAACAATAGATAACTGAACATTTTCAGAAGATATTCCTAATGATGAATAGCAGTGAGTGCAGCTGGACTTATATGTACAGAAATGAAAAGATATCCATAATTTTTTTTAAATATATGTATTTATACTTACATAGAAAAACCTATGTCAGTGATTAGGAGGGCAGTAAGAAAAGGACTTTCAAATTCTATTTTCTACTCTTTTAAAAAGATGATTTAGTATTTACCTACACTAAAGTACACAGATCTCAAAAGTAAAGCTTGATAAATTTATATATATGTGTATACATACAGGTAGCCACCATCTGGATCAAATCATAGAATATATCCAGGACACCAGAAGGTCATTAGTGCCCCTTTCCTGTAGTACCTAGAGTAATTACCTCGTAGAGGTGACAACTATTCTGATTTCTAACACCACAGATTAGTTTTGTCTGTTCTTGACTTTCATAAAAATGGAGTAATGCTTTAATAATTTTTGTATTTAAATGTTTATTTTAGAAAGTACATTTCAAGGGACTGATAACTACTCTTTTAACCAAAAAGTACCTGATTACTCCAGATACTATAAAATTAAGGAAAAGGTTTATTATTACACTACTTTAGCACATATTTATTGAATTATTGAATATATATTTGAAAATAATTTTTTGTATAACTCAAGCTGGTAGTAATTCCTGGATGTAGACAAACACTATTTTATGAATGTTCAGAAGATGCTCGTACAGATGGTTTTGTGCAGTGAGAAGAAAATGATGTAATTAGTTTTATTGTGGTTTATAACTAGATTTATAATGGAAAACAGTTCAGACCACAGGCCTTGACATTTACAGACAATAGCCAGATATGCTTACTAGTTAGAAGACAATCTTGGTGTGAATTTTTGTTGTTGTTGCAAAATATACACTTGTGACCCTTCATAGGAATAAAGGGAATTAGGGAAGAAATGGTTTCATGAAAAATGCATTGTCTTGGGGGAGATAAGAAAAAGTAAAAAGAAGGTGCTGTGTAAAGAGCATTGTCATCATTTATACTCACTTAGAAAATGATTCTCCTAACATGCAGCAGTACTTGTTTTCCACTGTGGCTCAAGAATTTGCCCTGACCCTGTGTACTGAATATCCACTTGTGCCATACACAGTGCTATATATCATCTACTGTGGGTTGCTGGTAGAAAAATGAGAAGACACAGTCCTTATCTTCAAGGAACATAGAGTTGATGGTCTTGTGCCTGGTTTTCAGTGCCATCACTCAGTCTTACCAACACTATCCATCTAATAGTGTTTTGCTGACTTGCGTGGCCTCTGGTTTGGCCAGGCTACTCTTAGTCATAATTGCTTCCTTTCCCTATAGCTCAGAGTTCCTTTTCTTTTGACCAACGTTTTCATTCCACCCCCCCTGCAAGAATCACCCCTTTACAAAATCCTATTCGTTTTTTAAGGTCAACATGAGGTCTCATTTTCTCTAAGAAGACTTCCATTATATTATCCCCAAATTATTTCTGCTTTACTGGGTACCAATTGCATTTACAGACATTCCTTATACTTTGGACTTGTGTCCCAATGACTCTTGGCAAATATTAGTTTTGCCTCAACGTTCAGTTCACAAGCTGCTAAGAGTAGGGATGGTGCCTTACACACCTTTGCGTATCAGTAAGAATGCTCAGCAACTTATAGTTGACCAAAAGCATATGCTTCTGAAGCACTGATCTCCCTTTTCAAAGCTATACCTTCTTTGAAGGAAGATAGTCACACCTGATACATGGACTTCCAACAAGCAAAGGTCTGTGTAGGGAATAATAGGGGTTTTTTTGTTTGTTTGTTTTCCTTCTGTTCTGTAATGGCAAGGAGGTCTAGGGTTGGAATATGATAGTCATGAGGTATCAGAATTATTGTTTGCTGGAACTAAAAAGCTCTCAGACCAGTGTTATCAACTAATCACTCCATTTTTGTATATACTTCTTTACTACAAAGCACTGTTTAGATTCCGCCTGGCATTAGAATCCCTGAATGATAAATTTCAACATGACTTCACTGACTTCACCGCTACTGACTGAAGACTCTGCTTGAAGAGGCTGGCTTATTAGCTGTCTTCTGAGAGACTGTTTTGCTTATTCTTGTCTCTGCTTGTGTCTAAACTATTCCTACATCCGTAGTGAGCACCTTCCTTGCTTCTGCCTTACCTTTCACATCCATCCTCTAAGCTTAGTCCATGTTCACTAATTCATAACACACAGTAATCACTTCCTCTCATGGAGTTTTGTGATATTTACATTTGCATCACTCACATGGCACTTAATTAGTCCTTGGCTTATATTATTTAATTTTCGTGTGGCATATAGTTTGCTTTCATAAGACAATTATATATTCAGGGGAGGTATTCTTTCCTGTTAGGGGAAGAGTTTGAGTTTTAGGGTCAAATAGACATGTGTTTTTGAATCCTTGTTGCCTGAGTGATCTGAGACACTAATCATACTCTACAGATCCCAGTTTCATCATCTGTATCCTGAGATCCTTAACAACAGGCTCATAGGACTGTAGAAGTGTCGTAAGTGAGATAATAGATGTAAAATGCATTCATAAGTGCTCGACAGACATCAGTTCTTCTCTTTTTCTCTTTATATTTTTCCTGGAGTCTAGCAAATGCTTTACTGGGACAAAAGTGTTTTTTCCTCCTTGGTCTATTCCTCTTTCACATTTTCTCTAAGTTATGAAGTCTTAGTCCCCATGCAGAAAGTATGCGAGTACTATATACTTTCTGTATATAAAATACATGCATTTATACAAACACACAAGAGGATACTTCAAAAAGTTCGTGGAAAAATAGAATTGAAAGATAATGCCAATACTTCCATGAACTTTTTGAAGACACCTTGTATATATACATGCATGCAGGTATGTATTATGTATATGTATTGTTAAAAAAACAAAATACAGCAAATCTAGTTTTGTAGAACTTAATTGGCTTTAATTATAATTCCAGAATAGAGCAGTAGTCCGGACCAAAAATAGTTCAGAATGCTCTACCCCACCACAAGTGTAGGTCATATTTATAGCTTGAGAAAAGGAACTAATTTACAGAAAGACCTGATTGACTGCAGTCAGGATTTGCTTTATATGGTAAAGTTTTGGCAGTGTTCAGCCTCTGATTGACTGGAGGTTCAGTTGCTATGATTGGCAGCGGTTCAGCTACTTGTTATAAGATTATATTTCCAGGTTAGTTTATAGTCTGTTTACACATCAGGTTGGGTTATGTATGACCATCTAGGGAGAAACTTGTGGGCCAAACTTAAAACATGTGTGGAAGCAGCTTTAGGCCAAATTGATTTTAACAGTGTATATGAATGAGCAACATTTTTCTTAGGTTGCTGTTCCTTTTTGCTGTATTAGATTTTAAGTTTCTTAGAATGGAGGACACATTAGTTCTGTGAGTCCTCACATTTCTAAAGCAGCCCATGAGCATTACCATGTTTCTTGACCAACTGCATTGCCGGTTTCAGTTCCTGTAATGTTGATAGCATATCTTAAAGATCAAGAATCTGATAGATATAAATATGAGCATTAAATATTTGCCTTTAGGCACAGAAAGACAAATATTGCATGCTTTCACTTTCATGTAGAATTTAAAAATTCGAACTCATTGAAGTAGAGAGTAGAATGGTGGTAACCAGAGGCTGGGTGGGTTGGGGGATGAGCAGGGAGAGGAGAGAGGAAATGTTGGCCAAAGAGTACAAAGTTTCAATTATACAGGAGGAAAAACTTCTGGTGATTTGTTGCACAGCAAGATGACTATAGTTAATAATATTATACTGTATGTTTCAAAATTGCTGAGAAAGTGAATTTTAATTTTCTTACCACAAAGAAATGATAAATATGCAAGGTGATAGATACGTTAATAAGCCTGATTTCCTCATTCCATAATGTATACATATATTAGAAAATCACATTGTACCCCATAAATATATTCAATTATTATTTGTCAATTAAAAATAAAATTAAAGTCTTTGCCTATAAGGCCGGGATAAGACCTATATTTTAATAATAATATACACTCCTAACCACAGTTGCTCATATTATTTCCTTATAAGGAGTTAAGAAGTATAATTTGATTCTTTTTCTCCCACTAAAGTTCAAACTGATTTTGATAAATCTTGGTAAAGCACTTGCTTCTGGCCTTCAGATGACAGCTACTGTGAAATATCATCTTGGTAAAGATGAGGACACTTTTGACCAACTACTTATTTCAGTAGGAAATAAAACAATAGAAATCCCTCTAATTGGGTATGTAATCTCCATAGTTTATGCTGAAATTTTGAGCACTCTTGAAATAAAAATATGGGTCAAATTAATATTTTGTTTGTTCTCTGACTTGTATCTATAGTTTCCTTACAGTGGAACTTAAAGGATTTTTTTTTTTTTAATTTTGGTGTTTGTAACAAATGGAAGCCTTGTTCTCTGGTATTTTCTATTAAAATAACTTAAAAACAGTTAACAATTGAATGTATTATTAGTTGGAGTTTTGCAAACTCATATTCACATTTTGATTTAATTTTAAAGTACTGTCATAGTCACTTCATTAAATTTTAAATAAGGCAGATGTTTGGCTTCAAAAAAATCAAACTGCTGCTCTTTTGAGATTGGTTGAAAAATATGGATGGATATAATGAGTACAATACAGAATTAAGTGACTGACTTGGTGACTAACTTTGATACAAATTATTCATTTGATGAGGATAAATTATGATTTATTTTTTTTTCTCTTTATACTGAAAAAAATATATTTCACTTTATTGTAAAATTACCTGTTAAAGTTAGTGTTAAAGTGTTTATTCGTATATATACATCTATACGAATCATGTATGATTCTACTTTTCTTCAGCAAAAATGGTTCCACAAGTTTTATTTTTGTCTCTGTTTTCCACCACCTGCAGGGTTAATATTGAAATATTTTCTGCTTATTAAATGGTATTAGACAATGCCTTTTTATAATTTCCCTTAGTTTTTTTTTTTCCTTTATATAAACTAAATTTAGATCTACAATTATTTTGGTCCTCTGTGTTGTTGACTTCTGATTTAGCACACCCTCCCATTCTGCATAGGAATCAAACAGTTGTCACATGGGAGGAAAGAAACAGGAACAAGCTGTGGAGTATACTTACATTTATAAAGCAAATATATTTCACAAAGTCAAGTTTCCTACAGTTTCAGGTTTAGCCTAACCTTTTGGAATTACATATAAAAATGTTATTCTTGAAAAAGACAGGAAACTTTCCCCAGGCTAAAATTCTCTGTTGTAAGACAAAGAATTGCAACACAGCCAGGCTGCTGGCTCAAGGACAGACAAGTTACTTGACTGATATGTAAAAATACTGGGAAGCTGCCGTAGGGAAAGAGAATGTTTGCTAAGATCAAGCTTTTGTTGGTGGATTGACTTAACCTTTTGCAAATTGCATTATGGAATGTCACTTTGCTTGTTACCAGCCTCTATTGTTAAACTATTACTCCACCTATGTTCTTTTTCTGTAACTTCCTGGTCTGGAAAATAAATGTGAGGAGAGAACCCCAATTCATGGTTAATTTCCCAAGGAAGGAATGCCTTGCTCTTGAGGGTTCCAGGAGATTAACCCCTGTGGGGTCTCTCACTGCTCAGAAGAAATGGGCTTTGAGTTATCCTTTTGTGACTCTGTCAGCCAGGGGAAGAGGGGTGACAAATCCACGTGAGGCAAAGCAACAACAAGCTATTAACCTATTACAAATGTTTATTTTGCAATTTAAGTAGGGCTATTTTTGGTGCATTTTGTACTTTGACATACCTGTGACTTCAGATTTGTTTGTGCTATATATAGAGAGAAGGTTTGAAGATGCTTTTGCTCTTGAAAGTAAAGTTTGAGTCCTTTCCACTAAGTATGCCCCATCTCATCAGAGGTCCATTTCTCACCACAGTTGCAACATAAGCACAGCACTGCTCTCTGAGTAATGGACAGGGCTGAAAGAAGTTGGGGGGAGGAAGCGGGAAAGTTTGCTGCTATCTGTCTTTTAAAAAATACTTGGATGATTGAAGATTCACATGCAGTTATAAACAATAAAACAGAGATCCCTTGTGCATTTCCCCATTTCCCCCCAATGGTAACATTTTGCAAATGTATAGGATGATACCACAACTAGGAAATTGGTATTGACAATCCGCCTATCTTATGAAGACTGGCACAGCTCTACTTGAACCCATGTGTATGTGTGTGTGTGTGTGTGCCTGTATGTCTGTGTCTGTCTTAAGTTCTATACATTTTTATCACCTATGTAGATTCTTGTATCCACCACCACAGTCAAGATACTTAACAGTTCCAATATCATAAGAATCCCCACTGTTGCTACATAATAACTACATCCACCTCCCTTCTGCCTTACACCCACTATCCGTAAACTGTAGAAGTTGCTAATCTGTTTTCCCCTTCTAAAATTTTGTCATCTCCAATATGTTATATAAATTGGATCATACAGTATATAACCTTTTGGGACTGGTTATTATTATTTTTTCATTCAGTAAAATTCACTGGAGATTCAACCAAGATGTTAAATGTATTAATATTATGCTCATTTTTATTGCTGAGTGGTATTCCATGGTATGTATATGCCTCAGTTTGTTTAAACATTGACCTGTTGAAGAACAAAGAGGCTGACTCCAGTTTTTAGCTATTACAGGTAAGCTGCTTTAATAGTTCTGTACAAGTTTTGTGAGAACATAATTTTTCATTTCACTGGGACAAATGCCCATGATTACAATACTGGGTCATATAGTAATTGCATATTATTGTAATAGAAAATCCCCAATTACTTTCCAGAGTGACCATACTATTTCACATTTCAATAAGTGATGTATGAGTAGTCCACTTTTCCTGCATAATTTGCTAGCACTTGTTGCTATCACTATTTTTAAATTTTAGCCATTCTGATAGATATGTAGTGGACTCTCATTGTAGGTTTAATTTGCTTTTCCCTGATGACTAATGACATTGAACATATTTTCACATGTCTCTTTGCCATTTGAATTTCTTTTCTGATTAAATGTCTGTTAATATGTTTTTTTTTCCATTTTCTGATTGCAGTGTTTTTATTATTATTATTATTGAGTTTTACAACTTCTTTGCATAGTCTGGGGATACAGTCTTTTGATGGATATATGGTTTTCAAATATTTTCTTCCAGTCTGTGGCATGACATTTCTTCCTTTAAACAGGGTATTACGTAGAGCAATAGTTTTTTTTTTTCTTTTTTCAAATTTCAATAATGCCCAATTTATCACTTTTCACTTGATAGATCATGCTGTTAGTGTAAAGTATAGGAACACTTTGCCTAACCTTTAATCCTGAAGATTTTCTCTTACTTTTTATTATTATTATTTTTTTTTACTTTAAAATATTAGTTTAAATCTATGGTTTATTTTGAGTAAATTTTTGTATGAAATATGAAGTTTACACTGAGGCTCTTCCCCGCCCCCCCCCCCCCCC